AGCCTCCCCCGCCCCCTTCCCCAAAGAAAGAGGAAACGCAGCAGGAAGAGCCCAAGTTCTTGCTTTCCCCTTTTCATATTCTGAGCATGAATCATCCTGAAAGCTACCTGGCCTGGTGGAATGTGGTGGCTCAGGTGTTGGGCAGCCAGGCAGGTAAAAATGACACACCCGCTCTGTGTGGGAGACACGCCTCGTGGGGAAGATGTGACCACCGTCCACTCAGAATTCCCTCCCCTCCCCTCCTGGAGCTATCTGATACCAGCTCTCAAAGGCAAGCACACTGCAAAAGTCACCTGGAGACTCTAAGTGTCAGCGGCTACAAGCAGATAGCAGAAGAAGGGAACAGAAGGGATGGCTGACTTTTAAGGGCCTATTTCTCAGCCAGAATTTTTCTAATTACTACCCATAAGTCCTCCTCCTAGTCATATCTATTAATGGATGGAAAAGATTTATTGTTGTTTACAATCTTGATAGGAATGCTGGGTTTTGTTTGTTTCTCCTCATCTAATATCCATCCTCTCTCTTCCTAAATAGAGAAAAGCCCATTTCCTTAAAATAAATACCCCCCACACATAAAATAATGATCAGAATATGGGCATAAACAAACATTAAACAATATGTTTAAGTCAAAACGTGCTTTAAAACCCATTATTTTCAGGGGTGCTTTTTTTTTTTTTTAATCAGATTGGTTTTCACAGATTCCGAAAAAAACATATACTTTTTTTTTCTAAGCTGGGACTAATACAGTTTACAGTTTCCATTTGTAACAGCTGGAAGCAAGTTATACCCAGGGAGTATCACTAAGAAAAAAAACGTTTTCTCAGGCATGGAGGAAACACCTTTAAAAGCCACTTCTTTATACAGTTTTCCTTTTCAAAGCAAGTAAATCGAAAAGCTACTATACGGTGATTGGGTACAGCTGGGTTTCACATTTAAAAGGTTTTTACGTCGCAAATTTGAAAAATCAGACACTAACTTCTAGGTAATGCCAATAATTTCAATACGTAAAGACTAAGGAATTTTACTTTAAGAAAAAAAAGATATTCATAGGGAATTTGGTTAATCCCATCCAGCTTAGACAGTATTTCTACATGACAGAATTATTATACTTCTGAAGACATTTATGTTGGCAGAACTTGGACCTCCTGAAATAGGATAAAGTGGGACTCCCCTCTGTATAACACAATCAAGTTGGAATGGGGGATGGGGAGGGTTCTGTTAAGACCTGGCCTCCACAGAGAAAGACTGGAAGGGGTCCAGCAAATTCTTCTAATAGTCATTAGGCTGCCCTTTCTTCTACGAAGCAGTTCCTAAAAACCAAATTCTCTTCCCCTGCAATATATCAAAACCAGTGGAAACAGAACACAGGCAGGGCGCCCTGTGGCAGCCCTGAGGAGGCTGTCTGGGCATCTGGGAACACAAGCTGCCCGTCAGGCATTGCTGGGCAAAAATATTTAGATCAACTATCATCAGCATGATGGCAATCAGCTTCAATAGAAGGGGAAGTCTGGGAATGTTGAAAGATGGGTTTGCACTGTTTGAAATGTCCCCTAAATGTCCCAAATAAACGATGTTCATGCCGGACATGGAATCCTGCTCTGAGCTCCGTATGGGAGCCTATTGTTCCCCGAAACTTGTCATGCCATGGCAGCTGTGTGCACTTTCTACCAGCCCACCCCCAAACCTCTGCCCCTCCAACCTCAGCTCTCTGGGTTGACAAATCGTCAACAACTTAAAATGGAAAATTAAACAGAAGGCCTCTCTCTCCCTCTCTTCTTCAGGCCCTAAGTAATGAGGAACACAGATCTGAACCAGCCTCTTTCACAAACAGCTGCAAGGCCTTCCAAGTCAGAAAGCCAAGGTATCTCCCCTCCATCTCTGCCTGCTAGGATCACTGTGTTCCTGGGCTTTGTGTTTTACTGTTAAACATTTAAGATGCCCCAAGGTCGTCATTCCCATGCTACACCTTATAAACACAAGCATTGTTCTTCAGGGAGAAAAAAAGACAACCCCACCCTCAGCAATCACACAGCCACAACTGAGTCACACACAGGTCCCTGCTTTCTGCAGAAGCAGTGGCACCCGCATACCCTGTATTAATTCAGGCGGAAGTGCTTTCCCTCCTCTGGCCCCACCACTCCTGCCTCTTCAAAGAGCTGTGGCTACAGTCTGTCTGGAGAGGAAATACTTGCTTTCTTTCCTTCTCCTCCCTGCCACACCTCCGATGTGTCCTTTGGCAACTGAGTCTAACGCTGCAGGTCACAGAAGGAGAGAGAACAGAGGAACTTTGTCACCAGCACAGCGCTTCCCTTTCGGCCACCTACAGTCCCAATCTCCTGCACCAGATCAGCTAAAGCAACATGAAGCACAGTCTCCACAGGCTGGGGCTCTTCCACATCCTGGTTCCTCCCACTTTCCTCTGCTGAGTTAAGGGAACATGTTGACTTTGGCCAAGAAAGGAAGGACAGCTCCAATGCTATGCAATGTGTCCTTGAACTTGAAGGGCAAGACGCAGCTTAACATACAGATACCAATTACACTGAAAGATTTGATAATGCCAACTTGGAATGAGAACCCTGCAAGGTTTCTTTATAAACCGACTAAATGCTCCCTCCTTCAATGAAACTTGATAGCAGCAACAATTCACTTTCTTTAATTTCTCATTCCCAGCACCATGCGAGGAGCCCTGAAAAAAGCTGGAATAATATACATGAGACCCCTTTCCGTAGAGAGACAAAAGTAAAAACACAAGAATAAAGAAACTGAAGAACAATACTGAGGTACTATGGAGAGCATATAATATGGAGACTAACCAGTCTGGGATTGAGCAGAAACTGTATTTACATCAAGTACTAAGTAAGAGATTCAATAGTCCTCCAGCTCCATCTTTCACTGATAGCACAAAAAAGCAAATCAGCAACTTTTCTTTCCTCTCTTGAGGACACTTTTTTAAATTGCAGCACTGTATCTCAGTGAGAGAGAGAAAAAGAGACAGCAAAGAGAGAAGAATGAATGAATGTCTTTTTTTTGTTGTTATTGAAAAAGTTTCCAACTGTCAAAATAAGAAACCGGCTTGGTGGTATGTAGTAAGAGGCATGTGACGCCAATGCCAGAACACACAATGAAAAGTAAAAGGCTGTCAACAACAACAGCAAAAAAAAAAATTGTAGCACCGGCCAACTCCTTGAAGGAAAATAAACTTCACGGAGGAGAGGAAATTTCAGAAGAGCTAAGAATGCCGTAAAGAAAGTCGTCTGGTGATCACAGAATACCAGCGATCTGTCATCGACGGTGGACAGCGCAGAGAGGGACAGGGCAGGAGAGCAGAAGTCACACGGAAAAGTTAGCTGGACTAGACTAAACAGCAGGTGGGGGCACAGAGTGGGCTGAGAACGGGGAACCAGCCAAAAAAGCTCACTGGAGCAGCTTGAAGCTGAGTGAGAAGAATGTCAATTTGCTACAAAAGCCTCAACTCACCATTTCTATGAAATGTCCCGAATCAGCTAATCTACAGAGACAGAAAGTAGATCAAGTAGGGCTGGAGGTGATGTGGGAGAAGCAGGGGGGGGAGGGGGGGTATGATTTCTAATGGGTACAGGGTTTCTTTTTGGGGTGATGAAATGTTCTGAAATCAGACTGTGGCGATGATTGTACAACTGTGAATATAGTAAAAATGGTGCAAGGATTTAAATGGGTGAATACTATGGTATGTGAACTGTATCTCAATAAAGAAATTAATGAAACAAAACCCCAGCAAAGGTCCTGATCCTGGTGAAAACCTGAGGCAAGAGGTCGCCTTCCTTACGCTAAGGGTCTCTCACAAGTGATGGTGAGGTTGACACCAGGATGCCCACAACCCAGTTCCAGGGATCGCACAGGTCTTTTGAGCAATCTCCAAAACACAAACTGAGTGAACCTACAACTTGGTTTTGCAAATTGCTTGAAAGAAATTGTAGGTCACCGAAGAAAATAAGGAGCTCAAATGTCATTCCATGTGATTCCTATTAATGTGGAAGTGAGTGGGGTTCAGTCCATAATAAAATGTGAAATATCCTTCAGAGACACATACATAACTCAGCAAAATGGAAGGATTTGAAATGTTCAGCAGAGCACCATAAATGTTAGCGTGATCTCAGAGCAGAGGAGGACCCGAACAATCCATCCAGGGGACCCACATGTCTGTTATCTGAAAGGCGCCCAGCTCAAGACCTGAGACACACAGACACCCAGGCCCGCCTGCAGAAACATAAATGCAGTCTGTCTGGGACGGGATGTAAAAATGAGGGCTCTAAAATTCCTTGGATCATTCTAATGTGCACCCGGGGCTAGGAACTACAGAACTAATCAGAATCCTTCATGTTACAAAGAGGAAAGAAGTGTGCAAAGAACTCAGTTAAAGGTTGCTCAAGTCACCCAGCTAAGCAGCCTAAGAATCAGGACTAGAGTCCGTGTCTCCTGACCTTCAATTTAGGACAAGCACCCCGACTGTGTGGGGGTGGGAGGCACAGAGTGGGCACATCCTTAGAAAATCCTGGCCTGAAAACCGTGGTCCGATCCCATTACAAGAAACTGAAGAACACATGCTTGGAAATAAATGCGGACATAAGTGACCTTGAGATTAGGCTGGGGAGACCTCACAATATGCAGGGATTTCACTGCCGCGCTATGTGTCCTGGTGGGACCCGATCCTTAATAAATACAGTTCATTGTTGGGGGGGGGTGAGGGGGGGAGATTTTTGTAGCTTCACAGGCCAGATCTGATCTGGAAATATTTTAGCCAAATAAGCCCAGTGTTATAACATAGACACCGAGGAATGTAAAAGCCGATGCTTCCTTCTCTCTGCTGTGCGTGCAGCCAGGGCTGTCTGCAAAGCACAGGGCAGGCCCCGGCGGGTCGACCTTCACAGACCACGCTAAACCCTCTTACGAAGTGCCTGGTGAATGAATGCTCTGGCTGACGTGCACTGAGCCATTCCATTATCGAGCAGTGTGCTTCTTACCTATAATTCCACTGTCCTTGCTTTCCAGGGTGGAACTAGGGCTGCTAATGGTCTCACAGGGACTTTTGTTGGCTGCCGTCTTGCTGACACAGCTATTCAAGGTTGAGCAGGGGCTATCGGTGCTGGGAGATGCGGTGCTGCTTGTTAGTGTGGAGCAAGGGCTGATGCCTTGGCTCAGAGCTGTGCACTGTAAGACGAACGGAAGGAGGCGTTAGCAGGGCGCACACAGGATGCTGCTACACATTCTTGTTGGTTTTGATGCTAAGACAATAAACCCGAAAACAGCAAAGCCACAAAGAGTTTTTACATCTCTGGAGCTTCCTAGCTATATGGTCTCCCAAATTTTAAAGGAGGAACATCCTTGTCCTGTTTCCCTCCCTGGTGATTTTCTTTTCTACGGAAAGGGCAGTCTCAGAAATAATGTAGTAGGAATGCACATTTGTAAAACAGAAATAGCAAGCAGGCAGACTTCCTTTCATCTCAAGTCTGCAGAAGACAAATGGGCTCTTTGACCTCGGTGCGGAAAATCTGGGAACTCTGTTTTTGTAATGTTTCACAAGCGCTGCAACCTGATTCAATTCCTGAAGATTTATGGGCTCTGGGGTTAGGGGAAGGAGACTGGTGGTCACTGCAATCTCAATCGAGGCATGACACCCATGCAGAGACCCCCACAGGGGGCCGACGCTCTGGCCCCTCATTGCTATTCAAACGGACACATCTCATCTCCAAGTGGCAGGCTGCTGCTCCCTAGGATGAGGTGTGCTCTCGGGTAGATGAACCATTTGATCTCATCTCATTTTGTCTCTGCCTCATCTCCTATAAATCTTTTCCTCACCTCACTGAACCTTCCAAAATCTCAACTGCTAAAACAGCACAGGGAAGCATATACCCAAGCAGCCAGATGAGAAGAATGGTGCTATAAAGATAAAAGCAGTATCATTACTAAGGAATTCTCTCAGCCACTTTAATTCATTTAGCCACTTCTCTCTGGGGTGGTGCCTGGAAGGTTAATGTGGACATTTTCTTAAGCTCTGCACCCTTCTGCTTCTCTCCACCTCCCCACTGCAAAACCCCACAAGGACTGAAATAAATTTCAATACACAACCGTCCACACTCATTCGACTGAATGAACAATGACTTCCCCTCCTCAGGAAGGGGAGGTGATAAGAGGCTTATCCCTTCATTCATCCTCTGAGCAGGTGTGAAATGCAGCGTTGTCCTCGGGCATTACCATGGTTTCATTTTTTTCTTCAATGGTTATGTGTGTGGCACTTGGGATCCCTTCTCCCAGTAAAAATCCCAGCCTTGTCAACAGTTCTTGAGCTGCCGGCGAACAGCTCGGTTCATTATCGGCCTTTGCTTCTGGAACAAAGAAAGAAAACAATGAAGGTGCCCCTCTGGGGAGTTTCAGTATCGCATCTGGAGGAACTGGCACCACAGCTGCTTGTCGGGTGCTTTCGGTGCTTTCGTGCAGTCTTTTTTTAAGATGCACAAAGTTTGACAGCGCTGCCTGTCCTCTAGCAATACATTCTAATTAAGAGGCTGTGACAGGTTAGGAAACTAGTGAAAGAGAAAAGTCCCAGTGCAACGGGTGAAAGATTTGACCTGCACCAGAAGAACACAGTGTTGCTATCTGACAGCGATTCCTATGTCCCTGTCATGTGGAAAACGGGTACTTTCAACACCACAAGTAGCAAAAGGCCTACCCCACCCTTCATCTTCCTCTTTAAGAGAGCAGTGGGGCCAATGCCCACAGGAAGCTGAAATAAAGAAAAACCCAAGAGGCATGCTGACAGAGGCCCAGGCTCCTGAGATGTTGGGGCGAAACTGAAATGGAAGCTCTCATTAAACAAGACAGGGGTGTGACTATTTTGGTGGAAACGTGTTCTTCGTGCTCCACGACGGTGAAAGACAATCAGGGTTCCAACTCAAGGGTCAAGCACCAGGAGCCCCCATGGAAATGATTTTAAATCCCAGGGAAATGTGTCCCAAGACAGGACCCAGTCATTCATACACTGTGCTGTCCATTTGGAGATGTGGAAAAATCGGGCAGTGTTCTCAGCGTGTTCCGCAGGAACGCTGAAAGCACCTTTTACCTGAAGGTCACAGGGCATGCTCAGAAGCCTTTCCTTTCTCTGGTCTCCCGGCGTTTTGCACTTAAGAGAATTTCATTGTTGGGCTTGATATAAATGTTGACCTGTAGGTTAACCTTGTATCCAAAAGCCTAAGGGTATGTACTTACTTACAATTGACAAAATGATACTCGCATTCTTCTAACACCTCTCTTACATTTTAAAATCAGCATCCATCAGGCAATGGTGCTGCCAGAAGTGAGAACTTAAGAACAATATGCAACCTGTAACACAGTCACTCATCTTAATGTTTTGTTCTTTTTTTTGTTAAATTGTCTAGATACCTAGAGTCATACATTCATGAACCAATTTTCCCTAGATGTGGAAATCTGCAGATAATAGATACTGGTCTTAGAAAACCACAATGAGGAAAGGCCAACCAAAATAGCTATGTTACCTTTGAGCTGCAGTATCGCCACCAAAGCTCAATGCTAACTTTGCCTTTTGTAAGGAACCACAAAAAATCAAAATAAGCAGCGCCGAGATGGCCATCTGTGTTACCCGCACGCACACATCAGCTTTGCTCAGTCATGCTCCCAAGATGGCAGCGACAAGGAAAACCAGGTGGCTGTATCTTCAGGAAAGGAAAAGCACTGCCCCCCTTGCTTGCTCTCAAAAGCTCCCAATGTTTGGGGTGGGAAGAAAAGCTGTTTACCAGCATGGATGTTTTTCAGTTGCTCCAGAAAACTGTAGGGGTGAAATAACCAAGGCTTGATTGTCTCGGTTAAGAGAGCCCCGATGTTTCTGGATCACTTGAGTGAAATTCATAATATGAGGGGGCAGTGGTTTCAAACCCACAGGGAGAAGGGAGCCACCCCAGGGCGGATCAACCACACCCTCAGAGCCACTCTACAGCAGGTCCCTTCCTACCAGAGCTCTCCAACCACTTTTGATTTCTCAAGGTACATGGGCATTTGGGTAAGGAAAGCAGGAACCAAACCAGATCAACACAACCCAGGCACACCCAAGGGCTGAACCACTTCAGAACAGGATCAGTCCCGCCTCCCTCACCCCAAGGCTCAGGCAGAGCAGCTGCTTGATCTTCCATGGCAGCTGGACCAGAGGGAGAGAACAGGATGCAGATGAAAAGGGGAAGACGTGGGTGAGGGGGCAGAACTCTGGCAGTTTCTCTACTCCACGCTCCCCTTTCCTTCCAAAACAAACTCTACACTGCTACCCAGTTGTGACTGTGCCCCAGAATGTCTTGCTTCTAGTTCAACCTGAAACACTCTGGGGAAGCAGCCAGAAACGACTCCCAGTTGGCAGCTGCTGTGGAGGCAGAAAGCAGCTGCACAAGCTTGGCTGTCACAAAATTTACCCTGAAGACAAAGAAGGCCATAGCCTGTGGCTCACTTGGGGTTTGCTCCAAGACCCTGCATCGTGTGTAGGTGCTGCAGGGAGTGAGGGATGTCCCTGGCAGAGTCACTGCTGTGTCTGTCTACACTGCATTTGACAGACACTCCAGATTGTTAAGGTCTTAAACACACACACACACACACACACACACACACACACCAGTTATCCAACCCTGCCCTCAACCTCCAACTCAGACAAACTGGGGAGCAGTGGCAACTCTAGGTTTAATGTCTGAATTGACATGAGATGCCCAAATTCATCATTAACTTGTGCTCTTAATTGTACAACCTGGACTTTGTTGCTACCAAAGTTCCAAAACCCTGCTGAGGTTCGGGATGAGTGAGCAGGCGTTTTTTGTCTCGGTTTACACATCCATTAAGCCACTGCAGTTTTATTTCTTCCATTAAGCGCCCCAACTGTCTTTTCATATTATTCTCTCTTCTCAAATGTCATCCTAGTGACCTTCCCCTCAGAGGCCCCCTTCAGTCTGAATTCCTTAATCCACGTCAAGCCGTCTGCATCTTTCCCTCCCTCACTCTCAAACCTTCCCTCACTGAACTTTTCATTCTGGCAGGAGGACGCCTGGGTGAAGTGTGACAGCGCCAGTTTAGAAGAGACGAGCTGCCTGGGCTCTCAAACTGATACACTTGACTGTGAAATGGAAATGCATTTCTACTTCCAGAGTTGATCACACATATTGAGATTTACACAGTCAGGTAGGATTTTCTTGAAGCTAATTCTTACTCCAAAATGACCCCCAAACCAAAAATCCACTGGGACGCCTTAAAGGTAGAGTCTATTTTCATTTGTGTAGTTTATATTAAATACCTCGTCAAAAATGGGTGTGCCATACCCAACACCAGTGGGATAAGGGCTGGGAAGAAAGATCTTTTAGTAACATTTCACATCCCGCAGATTTAAATATCCAAAGAATTTATGATGGCTGTATTTGGAGTTGAGAGAGTAATTGGCTTCACTCCCTAAGAATCCACTAGGCAAATGGAGAGATAATTCCTCCCAACATTTTCCAACATTTTCAAGGAGTCCTGCATGTCACACCACTGTGGAATAACCACGTGGAGAAAGGCACAGGGAATTTTTTGGATTAACTTCCTATCTGTCTCTTTTTTAGCTATTCACACCTGCTGGACCATATTTGGGGCATGAATATTAGGGTGCAGCTCATAAACTGACCAGCTCCCCAGTTACCATCATCCTACTTCAATCGTATGTGTGCCCTTTATAAGCATCCCTCATCCGTTCCTACAGAACAAAGGACTTGTCCACACTAATGTTATCCTGGACCCTTCCTCTGCCCTCTACCTATGTATGACCTGCTTTCCTCATTAGGAAAAGAGGCCACAACCCACGTCTTATAGGTTATGAGGCTCAAAAAAATGTGGAAAATGCCTTATAAGCCAAACATCTTTGAGGTAAGATATTATATCAAAGTTGGTCATTATTTCCGCCAACTTTAACACCAAGAGCCCATTTTTTTTCACTGGTTTCAATGGATTGAATCTATAATGTGCTTAAATTTTCTTACCAAAAAAAAAAATAGTTTTCTGTTTATAATTTTTCTGCCGTCAGTAACTTTCTGAATTCACTATTCCTTCAAGACAACAAATTCCCTCCTTTTTCTGGTTATCAAACTATTCCAACTTGGCTCACATTTACTGCTTTCATGTCCCGTCTAATCACTCCCTCCTCCTGACTCTGTTAGAACCATGAAAGTCTCTGGAGATTACCAATGACGATTCCCTCAAGAGAATCCTTTTCTTTGCTCTCATCCTCTTCAAACTCGACAGAGCATTGGGCACTGTACACAATGCCTGGCCATTTACTAGCTAAGTGACCTTGACACTTGACTTAATGTCAGTTTCCAAGACAGCACTTCTGAATCAAGTTTAAGTGAGACATGGCCTTGACTGATGTTAAGCCCCTTTCTCTGCCTCTATCTATCTATGGCCTACTTCTTGCCTAACCTCTAGCCTTCCCTGATTTCTATTTACAAGTGTTTTCCTGTTTCTTTCTGGCTAGTCCTTCTCCTAAGCCATCACCATTCCCTCCTCCTTGGATCTCTAAAAATAGTATTTACAGAGGAACATCTACCCATGAACCTGCTCTGGTTCTGTCAATAATTGGCTTCTAGTTAATAATACCAAAACACAGTTAACATACAAGTTATTGTTAAGCTTTTTATCTCATTCAGTCCATGCTGAAATTATCAACAAATCTAACCATTTCTTCTTTCAAAATGTGTCCTGAATTAGCCTTTTTCTCTTTAGTAATACTGCCACTTATATCTAAGTCCTCATCCCTTCAAATCTAGATAACTATGAGACTCTGGGTCAATTTTCTCACCTGTTTTTATTTTTCTCCCTCTCTTCTTTTCATTCATCTAAGCCAGTGGTTCTCAAACTTTTTGGTCTCAGGGCTCACTCTTAAAAATAGAGGACTCCAAAGGGCTTTCGCTTATGTGGGTTATGTCTGTTGACATTTATCATATTAGAAATTAAAAATAAGAATTTCTAAAATGTACATCAATATATTTTAAGTTAATAAAACATATTACATGTTAAGTAATATTTTAAATAAGAAACAACCATATTTTCAATTTTAAAAGTTAGTGAAGAAGGGCATTGTTTTACATTCTTGCAAATCTCTTTGTAATGTTTGATTTAATAGAAGAGAGCGGATTCTCATGTCTGTCTCTGCATTCAATCTACTATGATATGATTTTTTGGTTGAAGCATGTCAAGAATTGTGGCCTCAGACAGATATGTAGTTGGGAAAGGAAGGAACCTTTTCAGTTAATTACAGATATTCTATGATACCTCACCAAAACTTGACAAGTAGCTGTTTCTTAAAGGT